TATGCAAACAAGTGGCATGGATTCTTAAAAAATGTCAAGGTCATGAAAGAGAAAAATAAGCTAAAGAACTGTCATGGGTTAGAAAAGGCCAAGGAGACACTGACGCAAGTATAGCTTGGATCCGGTCTTGGATTACAAAAGACAGAGAGACAACTTGTGGAATTTATATAAGACCTACTGTAGGTGGTTTAGTTGTGTTGAATCAGTCAGTGTGAATTTCCTATTATTTCCATAATTGACTGTGGTTATATGAGGGGACTTTGAAAAGTTCATGGGTAATTGGAATTAAAAGATAAATATACTTGGAAATTTTAAAAAGCAAACCAGACTTATGCTACAAGTGTTTTGAAAAATTAAGAGAGCAGGTTGAACAGAGAGTACAACAGACCAGTACATCTGGAGATGGAATTAACCACTGGCTCATATGACCTGTCAAGGCTCTGGCAATGCTTGAGGATTACTATTTACAAAAGTAAAGGTGGGAGAAACTGGACTTGCCTTCTGGATCAATGTCTAATCACATTGGCACAGAAATGAAGAAATGTTTTCCATCCCAACCCAGAAAAGAACTGCTTTTTCTAACAGAGAAGAAAAGCGGTATATTGACCCTTTGACCTCAGCGCAACGGACCAGCCAAAGCCTCCTTTCCTAAACTCTAGACCTCAAATCCTGATTGAAAAAACCAGGAAGGAGGACCTCAATCAGAAGCTGGGTCCCACCATAGAAGTGAAGGGTGGGATGGAACTGGGTTCCAGGGCCAGTGCTCTCAGAGGTGTCTGCACACAGCTGCCCTGGCCGTTCATTTGTCTTGTGTTCTGCAGATGCCTTAGTCTACCAGGCAACCAAGGTCATGCACCCAACTCATCCCTGACTCCTCCCTCAACTCACGTGAAGGTGCTTCAAAAAGTTCATGGAAAAGTGGAATTTAAATAGAAATTAATTTTAGTGCAAAAAAAATTGAAATCCATGCATGGTTTTTTCACTATATATATTTCAACTTTTTAAAGACATCTCAAATAGGGCTTTATCATTAAGAGTAGGTAAGGGGAATGGAGTTTAGGAACACTAAATAAATTTTGCAAATTTTCATGAATATAAAATTGTTTCAAAATAAAAAGGTAAAGAATGATGCAGTGTGGTTTTTGAATGATAGAAATTTCTTTCTTGGCAGAGAAAAGATGAATGCGTATCACAAGACACTTCCAATTGCTCTTACTATTCTCTAGAATTGTTAGTCTAGCATTCAATGTTAAAATTCTTTCGGTCAAAAAATTGTCTATAGCTCCTTTACCTGCATCATGATTGAGTTTTCCAATAATCATCCTAATACAATAATTTCAATTTTGGAATAGTAGAAATGTTAGTCTTGATCAATAGTGACTTAGTGGCAAATGGCATCAGAACCAAGAATTTAATAATTTGGATCATTTTTTTTAACTAGCTCCAGCTTTATCTCATCTAAAACCAAAAATGTGATAGACATATTTGAGAAAATTAGTTTTCATCTGAAGAATCCAACATACAACAAGATAAACAAATAGATCTTTCTTGAATCTTATATATACAAAGGTACTTCAGAAGGTTTGTAGAAAGTAGATTTAAAACATAAGTTAGGAGCAGATGTTTAGCCAACAGATAAGATACTCCCCACATTACAAATTCAATTCTGGGCTCCGACTCCTGACTCCAGATTCCTGCAAATTAAGACCCTGGCGGACAGCAGTGATAGCTCAAATATGCCACCCAAGGAGGAGACTTGGATTGTGTTTCAGGCTCCTGGCCCCTTTCTCTTCCTCTGGCTACTTCCCCTGGGGAGTGAACCAGTAGATGATAGCTCTCTCTGTCTCTGTTTCTCTGCCTCTCAAATAAATAACATAAAATAATTTTTAAAAATAAATGTTTATTTTCGTGCAAAAAGTTTTGAAGGACATGCAAAGCCTCATCAGAAAACTCTTGGAAAATGTATATTAGGAAAAAACCACGCAAACATTTCATTTTTTTCACCGAAATAGACATATCTTAATTCTATTTCCCATGAGCGTTTTGAAGTACCCTTGTATTTCTTTCCTTTTGAGTAGTGAAGTTACTTGAGTGCGGCTTCTGCGTCTGCTTCCTCACATGCCCAGGCCTGCAACCCAAGGCTTTGCACACAGTAGGTTTCACTGAGCATAGGAGGAAGGTATAGTCTAAATGGCAGGGCTGGCCAGAGAATTGATATATTCCCTGGGGTACTTGCATTCCAAAAGGATCAGATAAAGCGAGCAATGATGGAATTAACTTTCTGTGATACAAAATATCAGTAGAAAAATGGATTTACTTTATTAAGGCCTAATTCCATATAGACCTTTGATTTAGGAAATAATAAGCAGGAGATTCAAAGCAGAGTTAAGAGGGGAAAAACTTAAAGAGACCCAAGACCTCCCTGTTGTCAGTAATGTGTATTCTGATGGAGTTTATCTTTTTAATTTAAAATTAAACATCCGTCTCTACCGTTGATGACTTTTGATGACATTAATTTCTGACATTTTTCTCAACAGCATTTCATCTGTGACTAAAACATCTTCCTGTTGCCTGTGTCTTTTGTAAATTGTCTTTGACTTACTGTTGCATAAATTACTCATCATTAGAAAATCAGCAAACTGGAAGGTTGACTTTGAAGGATCTAAAGAAGGTCTTGATCAGTCCTCAGACTATTTTCGATGGCAGTGAGTGGTATAGAGGGCTGTCCCATAGAGTCAAAGACCTCTCATAGCTTTTGGGGAAGGAGTATGGTGAAAATAAGCTCATGGAATGTCACTGTGGTCTCTGGGGCCCAGATGATATCATTCCCTCCTCACTCTAATCCTGGAGTTGTAGTAACAACAGGTTGGTTGTCCTCCACTCACAACACATCACTGGCAAATGTGGGAATTGGACTCTGATTCCTTAATGTCACCGCTCACTTCATTTGCCTGGACCTTTTGTCTCCAATCCTGATTTTATTTGAGATACCTTTGTTTTCCGGGAAAGATTTTTGGGTAGTGTTATAACAGATGTCCAGAGTTGGCTTTCAATAGAATAAAAGTCTAACCATATTTATAAAAAGAACTGTGGCAAAGTACATTTCGCATGAAATTGACCTTAGTTTGTTATGAGGATTGCTAAGGTACTAGATGAAAATAAAACATTGTCTCCCCAAATGGAGAAAGAAAATTTCAAAAAAAGAATGTATTTATAATTAAATTTGTTTCTGCATATTTCACTTGGATTGGGAAGATCAAACCTGCTTGTTTTGTGGCCCTTCTTACATTCTAGCTACCTTAGTTTGGTTCACTTACAAAGTAAACAAATCCAGATTACTTTTGTAGCAGGGATGATTAGATTTCTGAATACATTTTAAATGTATTATATTTGTTAAATGCAATTTTAGCTGCATTATTTTCTTACTTGAGTTTTTTCTCAAAGTGGACTTGCTTTCATTAGTTGTAAGAACTTCCATTTGGATATGTTTTACAGCCTACCCCCTCCTCCCCTCTGCCCCGCCACCAAAAATAGTAGTTTAGAGAGGGAATTGTCAAGGCTAAGGCTGTGTTCTGGATCATGTTGCTGAGTATCTAGAAAGCTAATATCAAATCCTTTGATTTTCTCAGTTGTAAATCTTTTAAGCAACGTCAATATACTTATATTTTGACGTCAATGGAATTAATATTTTTAGAATGCCAGCTTAAGAGCAGTTAGCTTTTCCTGCATCTGCCTTTTAAATGCAATTTAAAAATGATGAATCTGAAATGTCACTTGGTTGGCTATGAATCACTGCTGTTTACTAATAAACCTTTGGTTCATGTGGCCTTCTGAGAGGGAAATGGAAAGCTAGCCACAAGAAATGTCTAAGGCATTTCTTTTCCACCAGGGGCTGAGCGGTCATTGTGATAACTGAGGGCTCCACGAAGTGATTTTTGTCAAAAGAAATTATTTTTGAATTATTCAAAAGATACAATTTCCTGGGCAACCAATAAAGCCTTCATAATTGCTGAGATACAGAGATCCTTCAAAAAGTTTATGGAAAGTGGAAATGAAAGATAAGATTATTTAGTGAAGAAAAACATTTGAACCCCATGAATAGTTTTTCATGATATCCATTTCTCTTGAATTTTTGAAGACCTCTCATATACATGCATTTAAATTTTGTTTTGCACTGAAATAAACTTACTTTGTAATTCCATTTTCTGTGAATTTTTTGAAGTACCATTGAGCCATCTACTTGACCTTGGTTTCTCAGGGTTCTAAAGGCAGAACACCACTATTTTTAAAATTTCTTAATCAGATGTAGAGAGAAAAGGAGAATCATGGGGCCACTGTTGTGGTATAGTGGATTAAGCTACCACCTACAAGGTTGGTATCCCATATGGGTGCCAGTTCATGTCCTGGGTTCCCTACTTCTGATCCAGTTTGCTGCTAATGTGCCTGGAAAAGCAGTGGAGGATGGCCCAAGTGCTTAGCCTTTGCACCCACGTAGGAGACCTGAATGAAGCTTCTGGCTCCCAGCTTCAGCTGGCTCTGCCCCAGCCATTGTGGCCATTTGGGGCATGAACCAATGGATGGAAGACCTACCTTTCTCTCTCGGTCTCTCCTTCTTTCTCTCTGTAACCCTGCCTTTCAAATAAGTAAATAAATTCTTTTAAGAAAAATAAATGAAGAAAAGGAGCATCTTTCATTTATGTTCACAACTAAGTGGGGAATCCAGGTAATAAAATTTGGCTGTGTGGCTTCAGTAGGCATTGATCAAACAGTGCAGGGCTATCAGTGTTTTTGTAACTGGAGCCTTGAACAGTGATTCCTAGCCGTATGGATGATTTGAGACTGCACATGTTAGTGCGTTAACAGTGTAGTGAAAAGAAGTTTGCAAACAGCTGTGACAGAGAGCATAGAGGAAGCCAAACAAGAAAGAGAACTATAAAAGGCTGCTAACTCAGGACCCTGTGGTGACTGAAATCTCATCTTTCTGACGTCTCTGCTTTCAGATTGCCTGTTTGGTGCCCGTGGATCAGTTTCAGCTTTATCAGCGGTTAAAATTTGAACGAGGTATGCACTCTTTTCTTGTCCTATGATGAATGTGATTTTACATGTGTCATCTTTACACCAACCCACATGGAAGATGAACACAGCTGCGGGCTGACAGCAGAGCTGCAAGGGGACTCGGAAAGGGAAAAACTGTAATTGCAACATAAAATTTCAACTCTCGTCCACACCAGAAGAAACTGCAGACTCTCAGGAAATAGGGCTTTCCATATGTGGATGGTTTTGTTTCGAATTTGGCTCATGTAAGAAAGGTTTTGCAAAAGTTGGACGATTTCATAATAACACTAATAATACAAAAAAAATTGATTCAAAATACGTTTTCTCACCCATTTTTTCCACTCTAGAAGATTACATCAAAGCATTAACTTGCCCAGGCATTTTACTACGCCTTATGATATTCACTATTTTTTAAAGCTTATTTATTTGTATTTATTTGAAATCATGGGGGGGCAGGGAGGTAGAGAGAAAGAGAGAGAGAGAGAGAGAGAGAGAGAGAGAGAGATAACTTCCATCCTCTGTTTTGCTCCCCAAATGGCCAAAACAGCCAGAGCTGGGCCAGGGCAAACCCAGTAGCCAGGAACTCCATCTCTGTCTCCCATGTCAGGGGCCCAAGCTGGGAACTCAGTCCCAGTCTCTGTTGTGGTGACAGAAGCCCAAACTTAAACAGTTATTTGCCATCTTCCCAGCTGCACATTAGCAGAAAGCTGAGTCAGGAGACAGAATAGAAGTAAAACCTGGCTGACGCTGCGGCTCACTAGGCTAATCCTCCACCTTGCAGTGCTGGCACACAGGGTTCTAGTCCCGGTCGGGGCGCAGGATTCTGTCCCGGTTGCCCCTCTTCCAGGCCAGCTCTCTGCTGTGGCCAGGGAGTGCAGTGGAGGATGGCCCAAGTGCTTGGGCCCTGCACCCCATGGGAGACCAGGAGAAGCACCTGGCTCCTGCCTTCGGATCAGCGTGGTGCGCTGGCCGCAGCACGCAGGCCGCAGCGGCCATTGGAGGGTGAACCAACGGCAAAGAAAGACCTTTCTATCTCTCTCTCTCACTGTCCACTCTGCCTGTCAAAAATAAATAAATAAATAAATAAAATAAATAAAAAAGTCAAACCCAAGCACTGTGATATGGGCATTTCTTTCTTTTTCTTTTTTTTTGGACAGGCAGAGTTACACAGTGAGAGAGAGACAGAGAGAAAGGTCTTCCGTTTTCTGTTGGTTCACCCCCCAAGTGGCCGCTATGGCCAGCGTGTTGCGACGATCGGAAGCCAGGAGCCAGGTGCTCCCTCCTGGTCTCCCATGGGGTGCAGGGCCCAAGGACCTGGGCCATCCTCCACTGCCTTTCTGGGCCACAGCAGAGAGCTGGCCTGGAAGAGGAGCAACCGGGACAGAATCCAGCGCCCCAACCAGGGCTAGAACCCGAGATGCTGGCGCAACAGGCAGAGGATTAGCCTAGTGAGCTGCGGTGCCGGCCAGGATGTGGGCATCTTAACAACCAGCCAAATACTCATCCCCACAATCTTCATTTTGAGTCTTCACATTTGTGACAATGCTCCTTGAGTTTTGTCTTGCTCTTTTATTGCCCCTGGTTAAAGGCTCCCACATTGTCTTTTGTATCTGATCATTAAGGTTTTATTTCATCAGAGCCCTGGCTCATTATTTTGTTTTTTGTAGTCTGTTAAAATCAGTGATACTTGATGACTTTATCAATTGCTCAGCTTTATTTTTAATTCCTATCTCTTGTTAGTCATTTTCCTTCTCATGGTCTCTGATCACAAGCCCATTCTTATCATCTGTGTGTGTGTGTGTGTTTTCTTTTTGAGTCTACTTTTCTGGAGTTTTGTGGTAAATGTATGACTAAGTCCAGGGCTTCCTTCCTAAGCTATGCTTTTTAATGATAACACTTTCTCCTCAGCTTAAGCTTCCTCTGTTTGCAGCCAATTCTCTCTTTTGGATCCCTTTTAAGTATAAAATAGTAGTTTCTAGATGTTTCAACTTCCCATCAAAAGACTAAAGTACCTGTGAAGCAAAACTTGCACTGATCATCAGGTGGGGTGAGGTTTCTAAAGAGGACCTGAGTGAGGGACACAGTTAAATGTTGGCTTCTCCCTTGGTGGGCTTCCATTTCCTCATCTATAAAATGGGAATGATAATTGAATTATCATCCTACAGTTGTTGTAAAGAATGAGTGAATGAATATTGTGTGTCTTTCACAGTGCATTTAATAAATTATTAGTGGCATTTAAAAAATTATTGTTGGGGCCTGTACTGTGGTACAGCAGGTTAAAGCCCTGGCCTGCAGCACTGGTTCCCCTTATGGGCACTGGTCCAAGTCCCGGCTGCTCTACTTCCAATCCAGCTCTCTGCTATGGCCTGGGAAAGCAGAAAAAAATGGCCCAAGTCCTTGGGCCTCTGTATGCACGTGGGATGCCTGGAGGAAGCTCCTGGCTCCTGGCTTTGATCCAGCACAGCTCCAGCCATTGTGGCCATTTGGGGAGTGAACCAGTAGATGAAAGACCCCCACACACACACACTTCTGGCTCTACCTCTCCCTGTAACTCTGTCTTTCAAATAAATAAAATAAATCTTACAAAAAATTATTGTTATACATAATCACCACCACCAAATCTTACCTTTTCCCTCAGTTTTCCAAACTGAACTGAGAATCTTGCAGAAAATTCTCCAATCATCCCTTGGATTGAATGTGTAGAATAACAACATAATGTGTTCATCACCATCTAAATCTTCTTCAGCCCATTTCTACCCTATTGTCCTAGATTCTAGAGAATTGTGTAGAACCTTAATAATCAGGACTAACTTCTTAAATCACTTATCATATTATCAGTTTAACACAGGTTGCCCTTAGTCTAAGCAAGAATTCCACCTTCTCTTACCACCTGGAAGTAGATCATGACTTGCTGAGATGGAACATCCAAGGTGGCTACTTCAAAGAGAAAACATTCTTATAGTGATAGTGGCAATTAAGATTTATTTAGTAATGTTGTGTTTCTTTATATGCAGTGGTATTTTAGGAGGAAAACAGACTCACCAAGCATAAGTTATGCAAACTTCTAACTTCTGTGGGCCAGGATATAATTGTGTCATATTAGATAACCTCAAACAAAGATTTTTTCCAAGTTTGAATTCTGTGGTTCTTTTCAGTTGTCTTGAGAATAATCCCTCCAACAATGGCTACCTCTGTTTGGGTGTATTTACTGTAGCAGATGTTAATTCTAATCAGTGTGGTTTAATTGCATTTTCATTATCTGCAGAAGACCTTTGTTCTTTGAGATATCAGAAAGCAAATTAACTTTGGCATAATTAAAAATGCAATGGGTCATAAAAGCTAAAACAGTTTGATTTATTTCAGCAGATAATTAAATTAGCTTGGGTGCATTGTGTTTCCCATAATCATAAAAATTCATGGGATGTCTTTTTTTGGCACAGCTTCCTTTTCTGGAGAAAGACAAAAAAAAAAAAAAAAGAAATAAAAGAAAAAAAGACCCATTCCTGTTAGCTAAGAGAATATATAACTGAATGAAAAGAAAACCCACATATCTAATGTTATGGCGCTGGGGGAAAACCAAGGATCTTGCATTCTGTTTTTGACAGTGGAAAACAATCACTTGAGTCAGATATGGTCCTTAAGTCTCATGGCTATTTTAATTCCCCAGAATATTTCTATTTGCTGATAATTGTCAGAATACAGAAGTAAGAGTTCTATGTTACTTTACATCTTAGATTTTTTTTATTTGAGTGGCAGATATAGAGAGAGACAGAGGGAAAGAGAGCTCGCATGTGCTGGATTACTTCCCAGATGCCTACAAGAGCTAAGACTGGCCTAGGCCAAGGTCAGGAATAAGGAACTCCATCTGGGTTTCCCATGTAGGTGGCAGGAGCCCCACTGGTCCCGCCCATGGTCTGCATTAGCAGGAAGCTGAAGTGAGGAGCTAGAGCCAAGGTATCCATCCCAGGTATTCTGATGTGGCACATGGGTGTCTTAACCACTAGGCTGAATGCCTGCTGCAAAAAATAGTTTTAGATAGCACTTCCTGCCTAGCTTAATTTACATGAACAAGCACAGCCTTAAGATCAAATAGTCATGAGGTTTTACTTCAGTATAATCAATTCTACTTTCCTTAAGTAAATTGCAATTCAAACCTTTTAATTTGTCCATCTCCAATGTAAATTTGTCATAGTTAATCACTTCTAAGTCATGTTCATATTAAAGATTCAGGGTCCCTATTGTGTGGGAGCTGACTTCCAGGTTCCTGATGTCTCCTTGTTGAGATTTTTGAAGCTCCCAATCTCAGAGCTACATGATACTTTTCATCAGTGCTCATGAAGAGGAAATCAACTGAACCAGCCTCAACTCACTTTCTACACACTTTGGAATAAAAATTTGAAGGGGGAAGCAGCTAAACCTTAAGCTTTGTGGATAATTGTGCTATTTTATTTTTATAACAGCTATGTTTCCTAGGCCAAAAGCCAGGAAAGAGAATTGAATTCACAACTAAAGAAATAAAAAATATTTTTAAAAGATTTATTTATTTTTATTTGAATGTCAGAGTTAAGAGAGAGAGAGAGAGAGAGAGAGAGAGAAAGAGAGAGAATGTCTTCCATCCACTGGTTTACTCCCCAGATGGCCACAATGACCAGGGCTGGGCTAGACTGAAGCCAGGAGCCAGGAGCCAGGAGCCAGGAGCTCCATCTAGGTCTTCCACGTGTTCCTGACCAGGGCCCAAGAACTGGGGCCATCTTCTGCTGCTGTTCTCAGGCCCATTAGCAGGGAGCTGGATCAGAACTGGAGCAATCGGGATGAGCCTACACTCATATGGGATGCTGGCTTTGCAGACATATTTATCTGCTACAACACAACAGTAGCCCCAAAAGGTATTTTTATAAATATCCTATCCTTCCTGTTTGGGGCTCCACTTCATCTCAAATTCCTCTCGGATCATTGGTTTGGAGGAGAGTGGGAGGGACAGTTCTTCATGTGACAGTGGTTTGACT